GTCTCATCAAGTTGCCCAGGCGGGTCTCAAACCCGCGGGCTCAGGCAATCCACTCACCTCAGCCTCCCAAAGCGCTGGGATTACAGGCTGAGCCACCAAGCCGGATGATTATAGATTTCAAGAGGCCAGAGGTTGTGTTTATTCACCACTTTAAACCCATCCCACTTTCCAGGACTGCCATACAAGAGCCTATTAATATTCTAAATGAATGGATGAATAAGTAAATCTTACATGATTCAGTGTAATGATTATTTTTTTAAAACCTGAAATTGCTACAAGAATTTGAAAACCCTGCTAAGCATATCCATTTTGTTTGAAGTATTATGTATAATAATTCAATAAATTAAACTAATAAAAATTGTCCTCAGTGACATTCTAAACATAGAATGATATGTTTCTATTTTATACATCATAAATTTACTTTTCTACTTCTGTGGCAATAAAAGAAAGTTAATGGTGCCCTCTATGGAAGACTGAGGCAAATTAAAGTTCACCAAGACAACAAAGATATGTCCAAATGCATATATACATGTGTATTTATCATGATGCAGACTGGAAGTTGTCTTATTCTATAATTTCCTAGGAACCATAAACTGGGAAATTAGTTAATTTTAATGAACATTCATGTGTTATGCATGTTTAAAATGTTAACAGTGTTTTAGCATTAGTAACTAATTCACACACCTCACCTTAGAATGGAAGTAGCTACCTGTCTATATCTTGTGGCAAGTCAGTCAGGCTATTGTTGCTGATATCCAACCACTGCAAATTAGACATCCGCAGGACACAGATCGGGACACTGGAAAACTTGTTTGCTGAGATATCTACAAATGTAACTTGCTTCAAATTACTTAACTAGAAAAGAATGACAAAATATTCCAGTCACTTTTACAAGAGAGGGAATTAAGTTCAACTAATAATTTTAGAGTAGATTCGTGTTTCTTCCCCAAAGGCATTTCTATGAATATATGAAAATAGATGAATATAGCATGCATTTTGGAGTGCTACTATGTATCATTCACTGCGTACACACTGGGAAAGTTAAGATAAATAGTACACTGTGGCTGCCCTCCAAGAGTTAACACTTTCCTCAAAAAGTAATGCATAAAGAAGAACAAAACGGGCCAGGTGCGGTGGCTCAAGCCTGTAATCCCAGCATTTTGGGAGGCTGAGGCAAGAGGATGGCCTGAGTCCAGGGGTTTGAAACCAGCCTGGGCAACTTGGTGAAACCTCATCTCTACAATAAATCAAAAAGTTAGCCAGGCATGGTGGCGTGTGCCTGTAGTTCCAGCTACTTGGTAAACTGAGGCAAAAGTATCCCCCAAGCCCAGCAGGTCAAGGCTGCAGTGACTGTGAGAGCATGCCACTGCACTCTAGCCTAGGCGACAGAGTGAGGTTCAAAAAAAAGAGAAAATATCTGTGCTATGACAAAAAACAAAGTGGGACAAAGATTAAATGAATCAACAGAAATTCTCAATAAGCAAATAGGCATTGCAAACAAATAAATGAGAATTCTGGAGTTGAAGAGCAGAAAAACTGAAATGAAAAATTCACTAGAGGAACATCAAGGCAGATTCAAAATGGCGGAAGAAAGAAACAGTGAACTTAAAGATAACTCAACTGAAATTATCCAGTCTGAAGAACAGAGAGAAAAAAAATAGAAGAAAAATGAACAAAGCCTCAGAGACCTGTAAGATAGTATCAAGCATACAAACATACACATAGTGGGAGTACCAGAGATGAGACAAGAGAGGAGCAGGAAAAAAATGTGAAGCAATAATGGCTGAGATTTCCTAAATTTGATGAAAAACTTAATCTATGCATCTAAGATGCTCAATGAACGTGTAGTATGATAAAGAAAGACATCCACACCTAGACAAATCATAAGTGCAGGAGAACATTGATATGATTAGCAGCTGATTTCTCTTCAGAAACAACAGAGGACAGAGTAAGTGGAATGACCTGTTTATAATGCTGAAAGAAAAAAAAATCCATCCACCAAGAATTCTACATCCAGGAAAAAAACATCCTTCAAAAATGGATGTGAGCCGGGGCTCGGTGGCTCAGCCTGTAATCCCACGCCTTGGGAGGCTGAGGTGAGTGGATTGCCTGAGCCCGTGGGTTCAAGACCCCCCTGGGCAACTTGGTGAGACCTCATCTCCACAATAAATCAAAAAAAAATTAGGTGGGTGTGGTAGCGCGTGCCTGTAATTCCAGCTACTTGGAAGGCTGAGGCGGAAGAATAGCCGGAGCCCAGCAGGTCGAGGCTGTGGTGGCTGGGAGAGACACTGCACTCCAGTCTGGGCGATGGAATGAGACTCCAACTCAAAAAAAAAAAAAAAAATGGATGTGAAATAAAGTCACTCTCAGATAATCAAAGACTAACAGAATGTGCTGCTAACAACACCTTACAAGAAATACTAAAGGAAGTCCTTCAAGCTTAAAGGAAATGACACTAGAGGGTAACTACAGGCCACAGGCAGAAATAAAAAGCACAGGAAATAGTAAATATGTAGGCTAACATAAAAGACTCTGTAAGTCTTCTTTTTTATTTCTTCTAAGTTGCTTAGAAGACATAAAATTATAATAAGCAATAATTATGGCATTGTATTTTTTGGTTTATAACCTATGCAGATGCAATATATGGATAATAGTAATACAAAGGATGGAAAGAATGAAGCAACGTTGGAGGAAAATTTTTATATTTTACCAGGATTAAGTCAACATTAATCTGAAGTAGACTGTGATAAATTAGGAAGCATATTATTATCTCTAGAATAAGCACACACAAAAATAAAAACAAAAAAATTTAAAAACTGAATTAGTAATTTAAAATCTTTTATAAAGAAAACCTCAGCTGGGTGCAGTGGCTCACACCTATAATCCCAGCACTTTGGGAGGGCGAGGTAAGAGGATTGCCGGAATTCATGGGTTCTAGACCAGCGTGGGCAACTTGGTGAGACCTCATCTCTACAATAAATCAAAAAATTAGCTAGGCATGGTGGCACACGCCTGTAGTTCCAGCTACTCAGGAGGCTGAGGCAGAAGGATCACCTGAGCCCAGCAGGTCGAGGCTGCGGTGGCCGTGTGTGTGCCACTGCACTCCAGCCTGGATGACAGAGTGAGACTCCAACTCAAAAAAAGAAAAGAAAAGAAAAGTTCAGACCAGATATCTCATTGATAAATTCAAATGCTCAAAGTAAATAATACTAATCCTTCACAAACTCTTTCAGAAAATAGAGAAGGGAACACTTACCAACTCATTCTATGAGACCAGTATTGCCCGGATACCAAACCTGACAAATATATCACTAGTAAAGAAATTACAGACCAATATCCCTTGTGAATACAGACACAAAAATCTTTAACAAAAGTTTAGCAAACCAAGTAAAAGGAACAAACTACTGGCACAGGCTACAACACAAATGAAGAACTCAAAAACATCATGCTACATGAAAGAAGTCAGATTCAGAAGATACTTGTATGATTCCATTTATAGGAAATTTCCAGAAAAGACAAATTTATAGAGATATAAAACAAATTTGTGGTTGCCTGTGCTGGGAGTAGGAATGGGGATTAACAGCAAGTGGGCAAGAGAGAATCGGTGAAGAGGTGATGGAAATAGGCTAAATGCGAATTGCAGTAAATTGCACACTTATAATGTCAATTTTAGGAGTATGTAGATTACACTTCAATAAAGGGAGAGAAGGTAGAAGAAGGGACAGACAGACCACCTAGGAGGCCGCCGCCCCAGTCTAGGCAACACTGGCTTGACTAGGGTGGTAGTACAAAGGTAATGAGTAATATAGCCAGATACAGAATATTCAGGCAGTGCAAAAAAAGTGCCCACACAATATAAACAATGCTATCTATGTATTACTTTTTGAAGTTGAGTGGAATTATGGTAGCAATGTGTAGTATGGTATTCACTCAACCGTGCTTCTGTCATTTTCTTTGACTGTCCTACCTGTCCTAGTGGTGATGCATTTATTTAATTAACACCATCTTTTGAGAGAACATCATACTTAAGATGTGTACTGAAGGGCATGCCTAACAGGATTTGTTATGGATGGGATATAGGATGTGGGAGCAAGAGAGGTCAAGGATAACTTGACTCACTTCTAGTCTTAACATCTGAGTGAGGACTGAGTCACTTCCTCAGCTGAGAATGATTGGGAGATCAGTGGATCTGGGCAGGGAATCATGACCCCTGGCTGTGCACCCTCACCAGGATCCCTATTTGGCATTTCCTGTGGGTGAAATGAGTGCTAATATTCTAGAAGCAGCGACTTCCTCTCACCCAGTAGTGTTCAGGAAAGAAAAAACACCACTTCTAGGACTACAATCCCATGCTTTGTCTGGACCTCACCAGCAATCACCATTTTTAGCCCATTCATGACCTGTAGGATTGTGAGAGCCTTATCTCCCTTCAGCACAAGAAGCTTGTTGAGTTTTACCTGGCAAAAAAAGTGTCCACTTTTATCTGTTCCATTACCAGAAAATGATTTAAAATCATTTCTCCATGAATACAGACAGAAAGAAATTAGTGAATATTTTAAAATTAGTGGATTTCTTAAATCTTATCTGTTGGACCTCTTAGTCATCCATGACTTCTGCTATGAATATATTAAAAAATTTTACCCCTGCATTTATTTTCAACTTCATCATTGTGGATAAAGAGACCAAACTCTGTATTATAGACAACAGGCATTATATATTTCATTCATCAACAGACATTACATAAAAATATCTTCAGCCAGGTGCCATGGCTGACACCTATAATCCAAGTATTTTGGGAGGTCAGTGCAGGAGGATCACCTGAGCCCAGGAATTTGAGACTAGCCTGGGCAACATAGCAAGACCTCATCTTTATAAAAAATAAAAAATAACGAGCCAGGTGTAGCAGTGTGCACTCTCCAGCTACTTGGGAGGCTGAGATGAAAGGATCATTTGAGCCCAGGAGGTTGAGGCAGCAGTGAGCCATAATCATGCCACCACACTCCAGTCTGGGCAATAGAGCAAGAACCCAACTAAAAAAAAATAAAAAACTTGTGTGAAAATAGGATGTTTTGCTCAGTTTTCTTTTGATAGCATCTCTGAACTTAAATTCAGGTCCTGGCCTGGTATAAAGTATTTTTAAAGACCTTGTAATAGCTTGTATAGGGTGACTGAAATGTCAGGAAAGGCTCAATTTCATCTTTCTTTCTTTTTTTTTTTTTTTTTTTTTTGAGTTGGAGTCTCACTCTGCCATCCAGACTGGAGTGCAGTGGCCGCTCCCGGCCACTGCAGCCTCGACTTGCTGGGCTCTGGCGATCCTTCCATCTCAGCCTTCCAAATAGCTGGAACTACAGGCGCGCGCTACCACGCCTGGCTGATTTTTTGATTTATGGTAGAGATAAGGTCTCGCCAAGTTGCCCAGGTGGGTCTCGAATCTGTGAGCTCAGGCAATCCACTCACCTCAGCCTCCCAAAGTGCTGGGATTACAGGCTGAGTCACCAAGCCTGGTTCAATTTCATCTTTCAAAACTTCTTCTCGTATTATAGAACACACCATGTTATAAATCAAACAAAAGTAAATCATAGTGCAGAAATGTTTATTTCTTACTTCAAAGGGCAGCTCAGTTAATTCGAGATTTCCAGAACAATCCAGTCTCTCTAGGTTTTCACAGTCTCCCAGTTCTGGAGGAATGCTCTTCAGATGATTGAAACTCACATTGAGTTCTTTCAGGTTCTTCAAACAACCTGTCATCAGAAAAAGTTAATATTCATTGATTAGGTAAGGTCTTTTAAGAACAAAAATTAAAACTAAGAGGTAATTGAATAAATAATGATGAGGAAGGCACTAAACATAATTTTGTATTTATCTTTTTTTTTTTTTTTTTTTTTGAGTTGGAGTCTCACTCTGTCACCCAGACTGGAGTGCAGTGGCCGCTCCCGGCCATCACAGCCTTGACCTGCTAGGCTCCGGCCATCCTTCCACCTCAGCCTTCCAAGTAGCTGGAACTACAGGTACGCGCTACCACGCCCGGCTCATTTTGATTTATTGTAGAGATGAGGTCTCGCCAAGTTGCCCAGCCGGGTCTCGAACCCGCGGGCTCAGGCAATCCACTCACCTCAGCCTCCCAAAGGCGCGGGATTACAGGCTGAGCCACCGAGCCCGGCTTGCATTTGTCTTTTAAACACTTTTTTTTGAGATGGAGTCTTGCTATGCTGCCCAGGGAGGTCTCAAATTCCTGGCCTCAAGTGATCCTCCCACCTTGTCCTCCCAAAGTGTTAAAATCACAGGCACGAGCCACCACTCCTGGCCTCTTAAGTAGTCTTTATTAAATGTCTGCTCATTTTTGTCCTGCACTTTGGTCCTTGATAATCATAGCTTTTTTTTTTTTCTTACTCTTTAATTGTTTAATCTTTTGTGAAACTATAGAACTATAGGCAAGGCAAGCTCAGGGAATGTGTCCTTCACATAGCCTGGGTTGGGCCCAGCATCCACAGAGTGCAAGCTCCTTTGAAATTACATGATGAATTAAATAACAGGTGATAACTTTGAAGAACGGTTCATCTTCTAGGAAACACACTGACCAACTGATAGGCAGAGTCTACTGGTAGGCTCTAGCAAGAAGTGAGCTAGGTACTGAAATATGCACAAAGCTCTATGTACATGGTCAATGATAAAAACAAGTAGATTATTTACCGATTACATGTAAGTTACCACTTACCTTTGGCTTCATATTTGCATTGATTTAATTATGATATATCATGCTTCCTAAAAAAATAAATCTCTTTCACAGGAAGAATGTGAACATACTAAGAATAACAAGCAATCATTGAATTGACTAGGAAATACTGTATCTCAACAAAAAGAAATACTGTATCTCAATTCTGACTTTTTTTTTATGTTGGGGTTCTCACTCTGTCACCCAGATTGGAGTGCAGTGGCACTATTACTACTCATCAAAGTCTTAATCTCCTGGGCTAAGGTGATCCTTCTACCTCAGCCTCCCAAGTAGCTGGGACTACAGGCAAACACCATCACATGCAGCTAATTTTTTTTTTATAAAGATGAAGTCTTGCTATGTTGTCCAGGCTGGTCTTGAACCCTAGGAGTCCTGAGCTTGCAGGCAAAACTGGAGAGAAAGGATCTGACAGAGAGCAATCAGGGATGGGCAGGAAGATGAAGGGGCAAGCATAGAGGCTGGCCGGTGAGCAAGGACAGGCTGTGCCATTGGTCTTTGATTGAAAAACCAGGCACAGAACCAGAGAAGCCAAACTCCTACAGCTGCAAGGAGCAAAGAGAAAAAGGTCAGTAGCACCTCAAAGAGAGGGTGACTGTGGCAGAAGGGGCCAGGAGTGCAGGTTTCGGGGGCTCCCCTCACACTTTATTTCTTCTGATCCCTATAATAACACTTTGAGGTAGGCCATGTGACGATACTCATTTTATTAATGAAGAAAGAAACTTCCAGTGTTAGGCTCTTAAGATAAAGAGCTGGTGTGAAATCCAGGCCAAACTGATACAAAGCTCTGAAAGTTTGGTGGGAAAAAAAATGTAGGACTCAAGGGAGCACCAGGACTTAAGTCATCACAGATCTACATTTACCAACTGCTTATTACGGACCAGGCAGGGGTCCAAGTGCTCTGTCAGTTTTAATCTTTTCAACAGCTCCACTAGAGAAGCACCATCAAGATCACTGTTTTACAGGAAGCTAAGGCACAGGGGGCTATTTTTGTGCTGTTTTGCAAAGGTTGTGTTATTTGTCCTCATCCTGCTGTATAATGGTATCTGCTAAACTCATCGAGGGTAGGCTCCATGTTTTATCATTTTTCAGAATCTTCCACAGTACCCAGCCTAATACAGAGCATTGACCCGGCAATTTTTCTCCCACTTATTTTACATATCTGGTGAACATTATCTTTGAGCATCATGACCCTAGGTTCTAGAAATAACAGTTTTTCAGTGTGATAAGGGTTCAACATTACAGAATCTAAAACAAAACTTACAAGTCTTATGCCTCCGACCTGTCATATTTTTAAATAATTGAGTAGCCTATTCTTTCCTGAAGTGCCTCCAGGATCTTTTCCAAGTGAAATGAAAGCACCTACCTACCACCTACCCCCTGTTCTCTCAGGATCCTCAGACCTAATCTTCAGGAAGGAGAATATAATCCAGTTGGGCACGGTTAATTGTCTAGAGGTTCATTGTTTCTAGAGGTCAAGGAACAGATTAAGAAATTACCACACCATAGTATGGACTCGGTGGCTCAGCCTGTAATCCTGCGCTTTGGGAGGGTGAGGTGAGTGGATTACCTGAGCCCGCAGGTTCAAGACCGCCTGGGCAACTTGGTGAGACCTCATCTCTACAATAAATAAAAAATTAGTCAGGCGTGG